ATTTTTGTGTTTTTATTCCTGCATTGGGAGTCCTGCACACATGCACGCTGCATTCAGAGCCGATCATATACGATCGCTCCTGTCAATCACTCGTCCACGCTGCGCGTTGTTAGAAAAAGCTGCAGCAGCATGAGACGAGACCCCAGCTCAGACCAAAGCTATCCACCCGTTGAGCGCACGAATTATGTTTTTATCACAGTTTAAACATTTGTTCTCATGAGGATACGCTGCACGTGCTGCACATCACCTGCAAACAGCTGGATCAGCTGACAGAGCCATGTTAAATAAAGAGATAAACAGGTTTTCAGGTCAAAATTTATAACAAAGACCTCACATGGTGTTTGTGCTTGGAGTAAGTTGTTTTTTTTAGGGGCAGATATATGAGTTTTTTTTTCTTCTTTTTGATCCCTTTCATTCAATAATTGGTTTACTTAGATTTTTTTATGTGCTTTGTTGTTTTTATGAAATAAATAAATGATCTCAGCTACTTCTACCAATCTGCTTCATGGGACAACCCCAGTAAATTATGACTCTCCTGTCCTGGTTTACAGAACAGGATGTCATTTTTACTAGAATGTTTTTCCTCTCACAGACCAAAATCATATTTGTTAAAACTAATATGTCATAAAAAACAAATAACTGAATAGATAATGCTACATATACTAGATACTAATACTAGACATGTAACCCTAAAAATCATCCATAGAGTGGGGGGAAGTATTATGTATGGGTTATTGATGATTAGACTTTTTATGATTTCTAAGCTCAAAAAATGATGATTGTATTATACATGAATAAATACAGTAAATGTAAAAATTCAACATTTAAGATTTGACTTTTATATTTAGATTTAGGATTTAATGTGTATGCATATTTTCAACATTTAAAGGTAACATTCAGTTTAAAAAAACAATAGCTTAACAGTGAGTTGAATAACAGCACAGGCCGTGTTCCATTTTGAATTACTTAAATGTTAACTTTAACATTTAAGATTTAACTTTTATATTTAGATTTAGGATTTAATTTGT